GACATTGTGTTGTTTTTTGGATGCCGCAAGAAGAGTGAGGATTACATATATGAGGATGAACTTACCTCTTATGAAAAAGATGGAACAATCGCTGACCTGCATGTGGCTTTCTCCCGCGACCAGGTGAGACAGAAACTCTTCTTTTTGTTGTTGTCGTTGTCTGTTGCAATCTTGTTATTTGTAACGCGGCTGTTTTAGGTAAATCTATGGTAAAATGGCGTACCAAACAGGGGTATTTTGCTTTGCAACTGTGCAGCAAAACGAGGTGAAAAGCGATGTTGCGCGTTTTACCACCCGTGTATTGTAACAATTAGGCCTTTTTAACAGTAGCATGAATACCGACTTCTGACAGGATAAAATTGCACGGGAGACAAACTTGCTACAACACAAGTTGGCCTTGGGCCGGTAAAAAAAATTAGAGCTACCGTAAATCATCTATTCACCTCCCCCTCTCAAATAAGCCCCATCTTTTTTTCAGGGGAAGAAAGTCAATAAGCCCCCCCGCCCCCGTCTCTTTTAGGCCCCCTTCCCCTCTCCCATATCATTCTTCGGTTGGACTATACTAATCAATCACTTCGTGTGGACCGATCCATGATGGTTTATTCACCAACTGGAATTTCGGATTTCGGTTTTTGATTATCGTTGCATGACCTCCGACTTCTTGTACTTGAGCTTTTCCACTTTGAATTCTAAGTCGTTATGGAGAATTAATACCATCGTCTTTGCTAAATTAAATAAGCACCCCTTCTCCACGAAGCTCCCCGTCTCTGTTAAGCCCCCTCCCCCCCTTAAAATGAGTTTGAAATAAACAAGCCCCCCGGGGTTTAATAGGTGATTTACGGTATACTCTCTACTTTCTGCAAATTGTAACATCCTGTCTTGCTGCACAGTTTCTTCTCAATTTTGTGACTAAAAGATAGTTGTTGTTTCGTTCAGGAGAAAAAAGTCTATGTGACGAATCAAATGGCTGAAAACAAAGAGTCTATTTGGAAGATATTGGATAATGGAGGCCACATTTACGTTTGTGGGTAAGATGCTTTAGTTTTTTTTAACTGAAACATTATTCTAACTTTCATTAGCAATGCTTTCGAGTGGTATACGGTCAGCTCTCTCTGAGACGTTTGGACACCTTTGGGAGAGGCACTAAGTGTCTGTCTTAGAGAGATGTCCGTCTTATATAAATCCTTCTAAATTTGACTTGGGTCTTAACGTTTAGACCCAAGTCAAATTTAGAAGGATTTGTATAGAATCATCAGAGCATAACTGGGCTAATATCTCAGGGACAATTTGTCCCACAATGCTAGGTTTTGGCAGGTAGGCCTCTTGGAAGATGTTATTTCAGAATACCGGTATCCTGACAAATCCCATAATTTCACAAATTTAGTTTTTTATGACGTCACACTTAAGTACTCTGTAAATACTGAGGTGCTCGTTAAGAGAGAGTCGACTGTACCATGAAATACCTCACGAATGACTTGTTTTTTCTTAGTGTGCACACGCCCTCTAGGCGAGTGTGTATACAAAGATTTATCAATTCTGGTGTGGGATGTTAATGGTATACCACGAGAAACATTGCATAACATAAGACATATTTATCCTATGTCACTCAACTAAGCTCAATTTTCACCGCTCTCTCGTGGCTCGAACAGCGGCTGGTAATCGAGCCTGTCACTCAACATGACGAAGTAAAACCTCGACATCACGGGTAAACGCGAAGACAAAACAATTACACTAGGCAGTCTGTTAACAACAATTCCCAAATGATCAACAGCTTGTCAATGAATAAAGTTCGAATTCACCTCTGTCTATTTTACCTGCATCTGAAGAAAATGTCAAGTTAGCTGGCGAAGGTTTCTGATTCTAAGTGCAGCTGTGTATCCATCCCGGTTTTCGCAACACTGCTTTAGTTTTGTTAGTCTCGGCTGTAAAATTCTTTGCCCGTTGTAGTCTGTTTGATTTCGTTTCATATTCCTTTTGTAACAGACTTCTAAGAAATCCGAATGGTAATATTATTAAAAAACTTGGGTTTTGTAGTATTGTTACAAAGTTGCTTCTGAAAAATTTGGGAGAACAAAAAGTGCCAGCCGCTGTCCGCTCCAATTTTGGCGGGAAAATGTGGAGGCGGCAAGCACCGCCGGGATTTTTTAGTAAAATGCTACGGGTTTCTAGATTTCTGATTGGCTGTACTTTTTTTTTGACATGGGATAAATAATATTACAGGGCTGTCACTTAGATTCGGGGACCGGGGATTTCTCTCCACTACTTTGAGCATGAATCCCGGCTCCTTTCAATGGAAGTCTACTAATTGCATAAACCTTATAATTTGAGACCTTAGTGACAGCCATATTTTTTAGTTATCCAAGGTCACAAACACTAGTAATATAATACTCAGTATAATGTATGTCAACTACAAAAGAGCCGACGGAGAAAAAGAAACGTTTCTTTATTAAAATTTAGTGAAACTGGGAAGGTGTGTCCTACGTTAGACTAGCTCGTATAAAAGGTTGAACACGGACATCGTGCTCGAGACGTTTATATGTCGAAATGGGTGATTTTACATGCTATTATTGTAACGAAGGGAGAACACTCAAAACTATGAAATAAATGTCTTTTATACTTTGCTACCTTTTTTTGTTTTAGATTTATTCACTTTGGGGCGAGCCCACTTTTCCTTCATTTTCTTCCCTCTTATTCATGAAAAACAAAAAGATAGCCCGACAAGAATGGTAACCTGGCTAGCCGGGTCACCGGTTTTTCGATGGTACGAGACAATCAGAGCATGCGCGAGCGCTCTTGGCCCGGGAATCCTCGAATGAAGGGCAAAGGGGTCACTTTTTTCTCATAAAAACGCTTGCTAAGTCTTTATTACGACGGTTTGACCAATAACATGTTTTTTTTTTTTCAGCGACGCCCGCAATATGGCGCGTGATGTTCACAATTTGTTGTTGACTATTGTAAAGGAGAATGGAGGACTGACAGAGAACGAAGCTGCTGATTACGTGAAGAAACTCAGCGCTAAAGGGCGATATGCCGTAGATGTTTGGAGCTAAGAAACCTACCAGTACCAGATGTTCAAACCTACTTTTTCTGATAAGTCAAAAGTTGCTTCTTAGAAAACCGCTCCGTAACGAGCACGGTTCTTTTAAACACATTGCGCCAACTGAAAGAGTCCAATTTCCCAGCTTTTTCGTTAGTCAAACAAGGCTGGAAAGAACTTGGGCTTTGTATCCTGATCACCAACCTTTTTTCATCACTCGACCATATTGAAGAAGAACTTGCGTTCAATAGAATGGCCAAATAACTGTCTTGGGTTTTAAGCATTTTCAGTGACTGTTTTGCCTCATTTTATGACCCAAGTTTTGCATCCGGCATCAATTCTGTTCACTACGCGAGATCTTCTTCAACGGTATTTACCATTTCAATGTCGCGCGAGAGTCTGAGTCAGTGTCGCGTTGAATTGCACAACATGTATGCTGTTTCGGTGGACAAATTGACTCAGTTTCCTCTGCAACTTTGTAATAGCGAACAAAAAGAAACGAGTCGATGGTGTCCCACAAACATTCCCATAGTACAGTTTGACATAACACTGATCCAGTCAAGCGCACAACCTCAAAATATCCAGTTAAGAGCCTCATTTAGTATACAAAAAAGCCTTAATTCTGGTAATGAGAGATTTACCCTAATAATTTATTTTTGTTATTATGAGTCATATGTTACAAGATGTGATAAAAAAAGGTAACGTAACTGATTGAATAGGAGATTTAACCTACTAAATTATTGTTACTTATGCTAAGCGATGCTTTACGAAGTTATTTGTGTCTTCACAATTTTAATTCAAAAATGTATGGTAATAGCTTACAGTAATTTCCTACTTACTGATTTTGCATGAATCACACTCCCCAAAATCACGTCACAGTTTTTTTTATCGATTTTCTCTACTGTCAAATTTCCGTACCAATTTATGTGTGTAAATCAGCTAGAAATATATTTTTGGTGGGAACTGGTTTCCTTTTCACAAGAGGTGTTACGTAATTACGGTATCTCACACCATCGAAAATATAGCTAATCAGAATGGAGGGAAAGCTGTTGAATTTTCGTCGGTATTCAACTGTTTCTTTCTGTCAGGCGCTGCTGTTTGACTTGCCCTCACGCTGACAAAAATTAAATTTTGCCTATCATAAGTTTTAGGAACGATGAAAAAGTCTACGCCTTATTATTTAGACTTCACTAAATACCTGAGTATTTTCTATGGAGTGGGATAAAATAGACCATGCTTCGTTATGGCACAGCAAAGAGTACTAATCCAATGTTTTGTGTATTCTCGAGTCTAATATATGTTCAAGAAGCTTGTGGAATATTCCATGGTGTGTCACCAATCCATATCACGTAGTATTTATGATTGTAGAAATTTAATATAAAACATTACTTTTTGTAGTTCAAATCACCGTATTTCCTCTTTTTATCCCCCAGAAGCTAATGACCCTTGAATCTTATGACCCCCTTCTAATTTAAGTAATCGGGAGCTTAAGCAAGGACGACGGCGACGGCAACGAGAACGTCTAAAAAAGCCCTCGATCCAGGAGCGCTGGGATTAAATAAGCCCCAGGGAGCTAATAAGATGGAATACGGTAGCCTTAAATATCATTTGTGGCCAAAGTAGAGAAGAATATAAGTTCAAGTAGCAAATTAGAGTCCGCGAAAAGGACTGTTTTCTAAGAATTTTTATGTCAGCACAGTAGTTTGCCTTAGGAACTCAGTATACTCAGTAGTTTTCCCTCCGTAAACAGTGCGGTCTTTGTGTCGTGAAACCAAATAAAGTAATTGTTCTGACCAATCAAAGCAGAGATCGACAACCCATCCAGAACAAAGCGGGGGAAAAAGAGTTGTATGCAGGAGCTGGTTTGTTCTTACATCTAATTGGTTAAGCTTTTAGCCAATCACAAAGAACGCAAACAGAAGGTAAAAGCAATCGGAATTATTTAGACGGTAAGCGACTTAAAACCGCTCTTCAAAAAGGAGGTATAACTACTATATACTCAAGTAGCACTATACTTATCACGTGTATTATTGTAGCCTTACTCTATCAAAATATAAGAATTTTACCCACTGAAGTTCCTGCGTCTTAATTAACTAAAAGTAGAAGATTTGTCCTAAAACTGATAAAAAAGAAGACGGTAAAAGTGAACTGTTTTCAATACGTTGAACAGTGAACGGCATTTTGGAGGGAAACAGATCAAGCTAGCGTTCCAGTGTTCAATGGTCACCGCCCTTTTAGCGCGCGATAAAATCACCGTGCCGCGCACGAGCTGGAAACAGGTATTAACCGATTCTTTATTGGCTAATTTTTGTGCACGCGCTTTTCATCATTTGTTTCGTCAAAAAGAAAAGAATTCAGTTGTAAAACAAACTCACTGTCTCGAGGATATTATTTTGAGAGAAGAAAAGCATTAACCTCATAAACTTGAGGTGGGAATTGTGTTCAGCACTTCCCAAGAACCTGCCTAGAACATGGAAAGGCGAGAAAGGAGCTTAAAAGGTATTTTGTCTTGTCCCTTCTTCTATAATAGCAGGAACTTGAACGAATTTATAGCGCTGGGAACAAGAGTAGCTGGGTCATTTTTAATACTTCTGCTGGGTTTTATTCTTTCTCATTTCCTATTGTGAGGAGGCTAGGTATTGCGCTGAAACGTAGACTGGCTATGTTCAAAAACAAAATAGAAAGTTCAAAATTCCCGAAAAATTAAACAATGCAAAAGTGACGACATCGCCAATCTGGTCAGTTGGTTGGCCTCCCTGTGCTTCAGTATTGTTAGACTACGGTCTTATTGAGGGACTTAAAATTACTCGTACTCTACGCTGTAATTAAATTGTTCGTAAAAGTGTCTCTTAAATGCCGTCAATTGCCGCAGTGATGCAATAACAATGTGTACCAGCTCTAGCTCCTAAAATGCACGTGCAATTCCAACCACGCCTTCGCCGGGCTTGAATCTTTCCTCGAGCACTGTGACAGCAGCTTGAGACATCATAGAAGTTTGACTTGCAATTTCGTATTCAAAACATCTGCCACTGACCACGAAAGCCTTTCTCTTTGGGTCTTTTTGAACTGGGAAGATGAGGAGACAAAATAGTTGTTTTTAAAAATTAACTGCTTGAAAACTTATAAGGGTCAACCTCGTCCCCAGGGTCTTTTCGTTATCCAATATGGCCTGAGAAGACCCTGGGGACGAGGTGGTATGAGGGCGTCTGATAGGGATCAACTGCCACGCCCTTATTGGTCTCTTTTAATTCAGAGCTTTGATTTTAATTAGCCGATGAGCATCCCCGTCTCTTTCACAAGGGATTCCCCCCGGTTGAAGTAAAATGATGCCGTCCTTAAAATATCGCGGTAAACTGCTTACACCGTGTAAAAACTAAAAAAATTACCTGTCATTACTGTTTAGAATAAGTGTGGTCGTTTATCAGAGGCATCTTTAAATCTCTCAACGTTTCGCTGTAATTTCCTGTGAAAGTAAAAAACACAGTGACTCATAGTCAAGGTAAATATGCGCCAGTTCAGAAGTGTCACAAAGAGCAGACAGGACGCAATTTTTATCATCTTAAAAGTACTTTTTTTTAAACATAAAACCTGGATCTAATAGATATTAATTTCATAAACTGCTAGACAGAAATAAAATTGGCATGTAAAATACATAATAGCTTTACCCAAACAGAGGTGTGCAGTTGCCCGGTTGCGGTACAGTTCTGCTTTGAGATCTTTATCTTTGCAATTTACTTTGATTCCCTCCGTGTAAAAGTAAACGGCATTGTCATAATCGTTGTTACTGAATGCTTCATTTCCTTCATTGTTGTAAACCTCTGCTATTGCTAAAAAGGAAACAGAATTGAGTTGTCGTTACTTTCTGTAATTAAGCTCATATGTTACTAACTCGTTCACACTTGTAAATTTAGCTTGCAATGAATTACTTGTTCACCCTTTAAACCTTCAGAGTGATCAGCATCAAATTTCTCCTTGTAACAGCAATGCTATGTAAAATAGAGTGGTCATGAAAATTACAGACATGATCACACAACATGAATTTGCTTGATATTTTATAAACTTCTCCCCAGCCGTTCTATAGTAAATGAATAGGGGCGACAAATGAGAATTTTAATTTTGATCTTAGGGTCTTAAGGGTTAACTGACGAATGACACATTACCTTTAAAGATCAGTTGTAGGCATAGTTTTGTTCTATCACTATTGTGTATTCGAAGTTCCAACTAGATACGATCACTGATAAATTGAGCTTAAACTCGATTTCTGTTCGTCTATAACTGGCGATGGTGGATGAAATTATTGAAATATGGTTTCTACTAAAACCGTGCAAGTTGACCATGGGTGTGGCTATTTTCAAACGTTTCTCTTTTGTCTCTTCAGTGTTAAGGCCTTCGATACTACACTGTTAACAGTCTTAAGTAGTCTTTACTTTTCAAAGTGCTGTCGTCAAAATTAAGCACTTGTTCATCATCACAAGTTGATGTGGGGTCTCCATCATTTGCTGCTTTGATTTCACTCTGCGACATAAATGCTTGTGATCTGGTAATGAAAAAAGGTCACGATTCAGTAAACCAGTAGGTGTTTATAAATTTGGATAGAGCTTTTAAGATTTCTGGTCGTCCTAGCGGACGTTTTATGAATCTCAATTATTTCTGTCAGTTTTGGGAACTGTCCTTAACCGCGCTGCATTGCTAACTGATGAAATTATCGTCTTGGTAACCCTGTCTGTTCTCATCCTTATATTACTGGCTTCTGATCAATATCTTCAGCTATCTCTGGTACTTTCTTTTTGTCAATAATGAGGGGAACTGGGGCCTAATGTACCGCAAAACCATGGAAAAACAGAAACCACTAATCGCGATGAAAATGAATGAAAAGCGTGAAACTGCAGTATAAGCGCTAAAATGTTAACCATTAGACCCTCTATTTGACGTTAGAAGTGATCAAACCATTCATTAAACCACCAGGTAATCTAGACAATTAAAGGTCATTTAAGGTCTATTTTTTAGCCTACCTGTATTCTCAATGTAAAAATGACTTCTTGGATTCGTTGTACTTCACCCGTCTCTGTCAGAAACAGTTTGATAGTATGATGTTTGAAAGGACCATCAACTGAATAAATATTCTCCGGACCATGATCATGAGATCAAAAGGAGACAACTGTAACAACTTTATTTTGGAACAATCTCTCTTATGCGGACGTTTTTTCCAGAAATAATACGTGTTACTTGAAAGACTGAGGTTAATCGTCGAAAAAAGAGAAAGAAAAAATATGTATTTCAGGAAAATGACTGACGTCATAGTTTTTCTTAGACATATTTTACACTGTTAGTCACCTAACTGATATGGTATCAGAATATCATTTAACAAGTCCTTCGGTTCAATAATTAGGACGTTCGAGGTTTCATATACAGCTATCATACATGTTTACGGTTACCAAAAAATCTAAAAAATATCTCCAAAAGACGAAATGTTCTGTCGCATTGGACTATGGCACTGTTTCGGGTGACGCTATTACTTCTTTATTGGTTATAACAAGGGTTAAAAAGGAAACTGGATAGAAATTTGTCCCCCAAAATAGTCTCGAAAACCGACCCAGTCCCTACCTACCCTGTGTACAGATGGGCAGCTCACGTTACACAGGTTACCCAGTCCCAAGTGCAGGCAAACTACAACCTCGTTCCCAGGGTCCTCTAGAAAAAGGTTGAGCAAATTATTCAAGGTCAGAAAGATAATAAAAATTGTTTTAGTTGTGTGTCTCATCCCCATAAGCTTCTAGTTAAAGACGAATTTCACGTTGTAGTGCTGTGTCAGTAGAGTTGCTTTGCTTATTTACCGTATTGCTGTCAAATTTGACGTAATTGTTGCAGCTACCGTCTTTGTTGCATAAGCTCATTGTCACGTTAAAGCAACAAACTGGCCACTATGAACCATGTAAAGCACTCGTATATAATAGAGAGTTCAATCAATCAATCAAGCTTTATTCAAGGTATCTCTTCATTAAAAATGCTCTTCCAGTGAGCCGTTTGCATAGCAAATTTTAAGAAAAACTACACTAACGCTAAGAATATAAATCCCCAGTTAAGATATTGCTTCGTGAGTATTTCAGGTGTTTGGGTGATGGCACGAGACCATGTTGAAGCCTGTCTTTTCTAGTGACTGTTAACGTCAACTTTTGTATTAATCTTGTGTGGATGAAGTCTTCAACCCGAAGACGTATAACTTAGTTTGTTTGTAAAACTTGAACGGACGTGCATGAATATAGCCCTTAATTGCTCATTTTGTGTTGGTACACTAACAAATAATTTAAATGAAATACGAAATGACTCTTTCCTTAATTAAAGTTTTTACTTTATTTCCTTAGGGATATGTTTGGTTTGATATTGTCCAGCAAAAGATCTAGTTACTAAGCTTCCAATCCGAGTCCGTGTTTCAGTTTTCAAGGAAACTGCAATTTACTGGTTGAAAAAACGTTCACTTGAATAAAATAATAAATAGGAAGTTGCGAACAATTTCAGTCTTGACACAACTTAGATAAAAACTTTGCTTTAATTGTAGGTTTGAATTGAGTATGAAATGGTTTTGTACATCAAGTTGCGAAAGTAAAATACGCAGTTGCTTGTTATGTTCTGTAGTTAACGGTCATTTCGCCACCAACCACCTCGCCACCAAAAGAAGTCGACCCGGCGCCAACCAACTCGCCACCAACTGTGGGATTAGCGGGCGAATGCTGTAATTTTTTTGGCGTTAGAGCCGCGTGAAGATTAGGAGCAAGTTAAGTACCCTATGCATAAAAATCCACTAATTTTGAGATGGATAGACAGCGGGTCACGCCTGAGAAACCTACGTGAGTAGACCGTGTCAATTATTCTGATTTAATATTTCAGAGTCATCAGTTGGTGGCGAGGTGACCGGAGTCCTGTTTTGTGTTTGTTCTATAACGTACTCTGTAAATTATTTTGATTTAAGCTAAAGAATGTTGCAGTCGCCTTGCCAACTTGGATTTGCTTCGCTTCAATTTTTAGCACGCTGTCATTATTCTGAAAGCTGTTCTTGTAGGACTCTGCAATAAACCGGTTGCTGTCGTTGACCAATGGGCTTGCAATGTACTCATCTAACTAAAAAAAGAAGGCAAAAAAAACGTCCTCATTCATTTATCTCTTGATTTATCATAAAAATTATTGCATTCACCTAAAAGAGCAACATTAACACTATCCATGCACAAAAAACGGATGACATCATAACTTTAACATGGATAAAACTATCCATACAAAAAAAAGAAATAAAATATGACGTTTTCACGTCATTCTTTAATCAAGCTGTTGCTTTCCACGTTTGATCCTCAAAGGACGATTCGCAACAACTATTTTCTGTGCATTACAGAACGTTGCAACATTGTTTTGAATAGTTCAACCTTGTTCCATCTTTATTTGTTGTTATGTAACGTAACCTTAAAACAGGATATCAATTTTTTTTATGTCATTCCCCATTAAATAGGGTCAGAGTTATTCTAAGAACGTTCGCAGCACAAACTTTATCCCTAGTCAGATCAATACGGTTTTTGGGAAAATGCCCACCTACCCCTCCCCTAATCCAACATTAACACTTACTTTTCACTTACAGCAAAATTGTGACTTATTTAGGGGAGGGGTAGGTGGGCAGTTTCAGGGGTTTAAAATAGATATTAAAAAAACAGTAGAGGTCATTTCCCCTTGAAGCACTTACATCCATCCATTGTGCAGCAGCAATTTCTTTTGTGTCCATTTTGATTTCTTGAGTTAATGGCCTCAGATGGCAGATGAAATAAACATCAGAACAGCCAAAACGAAAGTCTACAAGGTGACGAAAGCAGACCAGAGAGACAAACTCAGTTTCGATTCCAGTTTCTTCCAAAACTTCTCTTTTCACAGCTTCAATGATGCTTTCATCTGTGAACGTTTTTGTATGGAGCAAAACAAGGAAGTCAGACACTGTTGATTTTGTATACCAAGTGAGAACTATTTTCCATGGAACCTCGATATAACAAAGGACTAAGGGACTGGCAAAATTTGTTTTCTATATCGAGGTTCTTTTTTATATGTTGATTACTAGGGTAAAGAAAATCATTCGTTATACTGAAGACTTTGTCATATAATGTTTCGTTATATTGAGGTTCCACGGTACAGAGTAAACAGGGTGCAAAGAAAGTCAGTTTTACGGCCTGCCATTCGGGCAAGCTGTAGCTAGTATATACTAGCCCACAAGTCAACAACTAGCTCCAAAACCCTTTTTGATTAGCAGGATTCATTACAATCCTTCTGTAATTTGAATTTCCCAAAAAAACAGCACTTGCCTGTCGGGTAAGTTAAGAACAAAAATCACTAGCCTAATAGCAAAATCCACTAGCCCCAGGCTAGCGGACACGACTTTCTTTGCATGCTGGTAAAGTACATAACAGCACGGTGAATACATAGTTTACAATGTATTGGTTGATTTGCACACCAAATCCATATTTAGGTTTTTTTTATGAGGCATGAGTCATTTTGTTAACAGATTGTCAAATGAATTAGAACTGTGATATGCCATCGTCACACTTGAAACAAAGTCAAACTTTGCTACTTCTTAACTATTTTAACTCATTGAAAATAGAAAAGAAGCTTATTAGTATTTTCTATCTAATTTAAGGAAAGGGATTAAATTTCCTAGTGTTGCAACTTAATGTTTAACTGCACAAGTCTATTTTGTTGAGAACAATTAGGAGGGAATAGCCTTCAGAGAAGTAAACTCACAGGTTTATTGATTGCTCCTTATGAGAGTTCCTGTTAGCAGTGAGTATTAAACATTATCAGTAGCATTCACTTAGTACAGACCTCTGTCAACCATGCCTCCTGGCAGCTTCCAATGTTGTTTTCTTCTATATTTCTCGCAAACAGCTAAAACTTGATTCTTCTCATTGATAACTAATCCACCAGCACCTAAAAATATAACAAAAGCACGAAAAAAATAAATAACTAAAGCTCCATTGATTTTGCAAAACGAAATGATTATGCTGCATGCCCCCAAACTATGTAAGACCCTTTAACCCTTGTAAAATCAAATTAGTCCTTTCATGACTGGAAGAAGGTGGTGCTTCAAATCTGAGGAACATGGTTTTTCAAGACTATTATTTATGTAAAAATGTTTCATGATATGATAGTGGGCATCAAGATATTAAGCACTTCTGACAAGCTTACAAAAGGTAGTTGGAAAAAGGTTCTAAAATCTACAAGCTGAATTCAATGTTTGAAAATATGCAATAGAGATGTCTTTTAAAAGGTTAAAGTTCATGGATCCTACATGTAGCTATAACATGGAGAATTCCATATGTATGCTAAATTTATTAAGCCATTTTTATAGAACATATTGTGAGCATATCGTGGGTTATGACTGACAATAGAAAGATCTAGTCCTATAATAAAAATACATTGCTCAATGTAGAGTAACAAGGTTATCAATCAGCATACCAAGATAACTTGTAGCAAATGTTGGAAGTGTGTTTGGTTCGGTCTTGGGCAGCCATTGAGTCAGGACAATGTGATGTGGATATGTATGATGAAATACAAAACCATGCTATTGCAAACAAACACAACCAAAAATAGTTAGTGGTCTTAGCTATTATCAGCAGTGGCAGATCCAGGGGAGGGATCCAGGGGAGACAAACTGAGGCCCAAAGAGTCGAAAAACACTTTTTGAGACCCCCCTCCACCCCCCATCCCTCCCCTCCCTTATCTGAAGGTGTGGATCTGCCACTGATCAGTCTCCTGTAGCTGAGTGGTAGAGCCTCTGGAGTAGTGAACAGAAGGTCATAGGTTCAGCTCCTATTGGGAGTACTTGGTCTTTTTCTTCTGAGCTGCTTGTGTCACTGACTGAATAAACATCTTTCACAACATCAAACAAAATGTTTAAAACATTTTTATCACTAAAAAGTGTACCAAAGTGTGAATAAATTTCAAAAAACGTATCAAAGAGTGCAGTCTTGGGGATGAGGTTAAAAGTACTGTTGAATCCTTTATTCTTAAAATCAGAAGTGATTCCTTTTAGCATTAAAATACCTCATATATTTTTTATTTTCCTGTTCTCCTTGACTTACAGACAAGTCATCTTAATTTTTTTGGGAGATGATATCCCTTTTTCTTTCCATCAGTAAGGACTTTTATTCAATTTTAGCGAAAATAAGGAACTAATGAAAATGAAAATTCCTTTCTTTCTTTCCTACTTGTTCCTTTCTTTCTTGAGTATCGTTACCATGTATCGTTACTGTAGTAGAGTTAACCCGTTTAAATTCCAAGTGTAAAAACTTTTGTGATAAACATCAATAAAATACAAAAGAAATTAAGGACTTTTGTAGAGTCTATTCACTCCCTTGCCTCATAATTAACCCTTTAAGCCCTAAGAGTGATCAGCATGAAATTTTTCCTTCTAATATCAATGCTTTAGAAAACAGAGTGGTCATGAGAATTGAGTACATGATCAGGGAAGATGAGTCTATTGACATTTCAACAGATTCTCCCCACTACTTCTATTGAAAAAGTAAAGGGACAGTAAATGAGAATCTCAATTTGATCTTAAGGTTTAAAGGGTTAAGGATCGCCTGAAGCAAAGTACATATTCCAACTGTTTCAAGTTAACATATGAACTAACTTCTATGAACACAAACCTTCACAGCAATAGGAATATATGTAGAATTGTTAATTGATATTCTCAGCCAAACTCCTCGGATAGCACCTTGCTTGAACTTCTCTAATGATGCTGAAGAAAAATCAGTATCAAGTATCAGAGAAAGACCAGAGTCACAAAGTTAGCCACATAAACACTATCTCAAAAAATAAGAAAAGCAAGGAAGACTTACAAACCAGTTTCATTTCAAATTCCTTTTCACCCTTGCATGTTTCCTTTTCTGTGTTGATCGTGATACCACCGAATCTGCAAAACAACAGAACAATATTATTACTCATCACTGGATACAATAGTTGTTCATGGGACTATAACTATATCAATATTTTTCCTTACAACTTTAGACCTTTGGAAAAAATAGGCAGGGGTGGGGGGTTGGTCTTTGGGAGATATCCCCCTTTTCTTACCTCCAAATACCCTTCCCTCTTTTATCCCAGACACCTCTTCTTCTTTGCACTTGAAGTGAGGGTGTCCCCACCCTCCAAGTCAAAGTTATCCCAGGTTCACCCCATTCAGTAACTGCAAACATATTGGTGTCATTCCTCTACTTTTTATTTCTTGTAAGCTTACATTCCCTGGAGAAAAGTTCCATAAACGAAAAGTATGAAAATTAACAAACATGGAACACACGCCTTGAATTTTATCATTAGACAACCTTTGCCGGTTACATAAGTTCACCCAAATTTGAGGATTCCAGTATGAACACTATCATTTGTAATGAATTATCCCACCAGACAAGATAACAATGAAACATTTGCTGTGTAATGGCCTTAATTTTTCCCATTTTACAGGGTAAAGTCATAAACCATATTGTGTTTATGAAGTTAGGTCAGAAAACCAATTTTTAAATAGGCTTTACATGGGAAAACTCCCACTAATTACTGAGCTACGGTTTGGTTAAAAACTCATTGTGTACAGTGCTTTCTTTTGAGTACAGGCCAATAATAATAAAAAGTGATTGAGAGGAAGACGTTTTGCATCAGAAAAACGCCAACTTAACTTGAAGCCTTAAAAGGGCATTTACTTTGTATAACGGACACAGGTTCGGCACATGAGTGGACCGGCGTCTAAACCGGGCCTTAGTCCACTTTATAGCCGGTGCAAGAACCGTTTTCACGAAAACAACCTCTACCCTTACATGTCTCTGATCCCCATGAAAGTATTGCTGTCTGCATCTTGAATTTGAGAGGACTCTAAATATCCTTCTGCACACAAAACAGCGGTCTTGCCACTCAATTCTTCGGGGGAAGTCATGATCGGATCCTGCAGATCGATTTTGACAGAGCTGTTTCTCGCCAGCCATCGATTCTCGACGGGGAGGACTGGTAGCTGCAGATTATGCAATAATCTCTCAAGGACCAGACAAGGACANTGTAAAAGAATTAAATAGGCATTTTCTTGAGTGAAAGTCATTTATAGGCATGTTTAGTTTCCCGGCACTGAAAACTCCGGGTGTTCGTGACTGCAGTCATCAAAGTCGAAGTTGTTATTAAATCCCGCCCATCTCTTGTTTTGAGTTCTTGTTTTCTCCGATAATAAAAAAAATTATTTAACGGACTAACATTTTATTTCCTGGTTTTAGTGTTAATGATAATGATGACTCCTTTTTGGTTTCTTTCATAAGTATTGTGATTCTTTTCTTAGTTGTCGCCTTCTCCCAAATTAACTTATGCCAGATCAGTAGCATGCAAGAAAGCCAGTAAAAACGAATTCGTCATGTCGAGCGCTCGCGACCTGCAAACTTCAAATATCATTTTCACCGTTGGTGCAAACAGATAACCATGTGGTGCAAAAGTTTGACGCTAGAAAAATATATAAGCTTTCGAATGAAGTGAGTTTTTTCGCCCCCTTTTTTGTCTGTTTCTCCCTTTTTGCTTTTAAACTTGGTGCGTCGGCAATGTTATGCCTACGCGATTGGTTTATATACTAGACCGGAAACAAAAAGCTGACCGGATGTCAAATTTTATGCTCATGCGCATTGCGTTTTGCCGCGGTGTTGACAAGGACACTCAAGGTCACCGTCACCGGTAAGTAATGTATGACCGCGGTGCATGATTTCTGAGGGTAACCATGTCAAGTTCGCGCGCTTTGTGTCCTTTGTGTTCCCCGGCCGGCCGTCAGTCAGTGAAGACGCAAAAACATGACTTCCAGGTTTGCTTCGTTGACCGAGCAAGACATCGAAAAAATGGTTGAAGACAAGGAATCACAAAACACAAAAATATGCCGTCAGATCGGGAACAAAATCGATACTCAGAATTTCGTGGTCGTGAAAACACTTCTTCGCTTCGAAAATTGTTCTTCGAGTCATTGTCTGCTGTCTTCGTGGAGTCGGTTCAATGTCTTCGTGTCGTCGCATCCCTCATTTCATCGTACTGTTTTCGTCGGGGCAAAGGTGGCTTTTAGTTCGTGGAGGCGCTATGGGCTTATGTCGTCGTTGCGTCACTTTTATGTCTTCGTGTCCTCGTACCTTGTTACCCTGTCACCTTGCTACCCTGTTACCCTGTTACCTTGTTACCTTGTTACCCTTTTACCCTGTTACCCTGTTATCTTCTTACCCTGTTACCTTGTTACCTTTTTATCCTGTTACCTTGTTACCCTGTTACCCTGTTACCTTGTTACCTTGTTACCCTGTTACCCTGTTACCTTGTTACCTTTTTACCCTGTTACCCTGTTACCCTGTTACCTTGTTACCTTGTTGCCCTTTTACCCTGTTACCCTGTTAACTTGTTATCTTGTTACCCTGTTACCTTGTTACCTTGTTACCCTGTTACCTTGTTACCCTGTTACCCTGTTACCCTGTTATCTAGTCACCTTGTTACCTTGTTACCCTGTTACCTTGTTACCCTGTTACCCTGTTACCGTGTTATCTTGTTTTTGGGGAGCAGGGATGGCGCAGTGGTGAGAGCACTCGCCTTCCACCAATGTGGCCCGGGTTTGATTCCCGGACTCGACGTCATATGTGGGTTGAGTTTTTTGTTGGTTCTCTTCTCTGCTCTGAGAGGTTTTTCTCCAGGTACTCCGGTTTTCCCCTCTCCGCAAAAACCAACATTTCTAAATTCCAATTCGATCCCGAATGCTCGAGCGTTTAATACATGAGCCCCGGGCTCGGGAGATTGGGCAACCACTCCTCACGCTATCGAGCTTAAATAAAATTAACTTAATTTTTTAAATTTAATTTTTAATTTGCCCTGTTACCTTGTTACCCTGTTACCTCGTTACCCTGTTACCTTCTTATCTTGTTAACCTGTTACCTTGTTAACCTGTTCCCCTGTTCCCCTGTTACCTTGTTACCTTGTTAACCTGTTACCTTGTTAACCTGTTCCCCTGTTCCCCTGTTACCTTGTTACCCTGTTACCATGTTATCGTGTTATCCTGTTACCTTGTCACCTTGTTAACCTGTTACCTTGTTAACCTGTTCCCCTGTTCCCCTGTTACCTTGTTACCTTGTTACCCTGTTACATTGTTACCTTGTTACCCTGTTACCTTGTTACTTTGTTACCCTGTTACCTTGTTACCCTGTTACCTTGTTACC